TTATTAAAATCTAAAACATGGGTTAAGACTCAGAATAGTCAAGGAAAGAGCAGAGGGCTAAGAATGAAGATGAAGCATATAGGGAGATGAAGAACACAGATGCCTTGAGCAGGGAGGAGGAGAAAGTCTGTGATATGAGCAGGGAAAAACAGCCAGCAGGAGGTAAAGGGCAGCTAGGGGTAGAATAGAGAGCAAAGAAGCTGTAGCATCATCCTGTGGAGGGTTTTGAAAGCAGACAAGGGAACACAGCCTCTCTACCACAAGAGTTGTAGCTTATGTGCTTTAAAACACTCGTGTTGTTTCACTTGCTTCTATTGGGTGGTAAGTCCAAAATTCATTTCATGAACAAAATTTCCCACAGAAACAGATTCTCAAACGTTGAGAACAGGTTAAGTTTCCAATGATTGAGAAATAGTGGGATGAAACAGTGAAAATCTGGGAATGTTTTTAAACTGTAGAGTCATCGGTTTGAATGTGAATGTTTGTGGTTTCTTCATCTTTAAAGGTATGACACTGAGGTAGTCGCTAGTTTTAATACACTACAATTTTATCATCACAACCTATCAAAGATGCACACAGACCAAAAATATTAATTAATTCTACTGATAGGAATAACTAAAATGTCCATCAATTGATGAATGAATAAACAAAATGTCAGATATCCATACAGAAGAATATTATTCAACCTTAAAGGAGAGTGAAGTATCACTGATTTGGGCCATAACATGGATGAACCTTGAAAATATTAACACTAAGTAAAAGAAAACGGACACAAAAGACCATATATTCTATGATTCCATTTATATGAAACATCCAGAACAACCAAATCTATAGAAACAGACAATAAATTACTTGTTGCCAGGAGCTGGGGGAGGGAAGTGTGGCGAGTGACTCCTAATGGGTGTGGGGTTTCTTTGGGGAATGATGAAAACATTATTGAATGAGATAGTGGTGAGGGGTGAACTACTTTATGAATATACTAAAATCTCCTCAATTATATTATTTAAAATGGCAAATTTTATTGAATGTGAATTATATCTAAATGAACAATTTTACAAACATTTAATTCCAATGATAGGCAAACCCCTAAATTTGGCAGTCTTGTAAGAATGGAGGCTGTGCTGTAGATATCACTGTTTGTAAACCATCAAATGCTCCTTCACACAGGAGATATACAACTATAAATTTTAACATTAAATATAAGAATCCTAACTATTAATTACCAGTTAACAGCTTACAGCCCCTTCTATGTCAGAACTCTAATGTAGATTCCAATTTATTCTCTCAGGCAAAAGCCCTTAAGAAAAATGCCTAAATGTCATGATATATATGTAAGTCAGATTATTCTACACAGTTTAGACTTCACACAAAAAAAGCACCTGAAAATGCAATGTAGAGAATCCTAAGATATGTAATTTCTTTATCTCAAATAACAAGCAACAAAACAAACAAACCTCTCTGTTCTCTTGTGCTCTCAAAATAAGTTAAGATTGTGGTCCCTTTATGAAACAAGTACGTTCTGACTGCCTGACACTCTTCCAGGTATGGAAACCTCACCTTAAAAATCAAAGTCACTCAGATGCTCATGCCCTGGCATCAACTTTTCAGGAGGAAATGAATAAAAGGAAAAAATATATATTGAGAGATGTTGGTTCTAGACAGGGTAAGACTCAAGGTGTGCTAAAGCTCCCACAGGAAATGGCACAGAAGGGACAGGTAAAGTAATGTTTCTTTTGGGCCAAGAATGCTTCTCTATTAACAGCAGAAATGGTAAAGTGAAACATACAAAAGAAAAGCTCTCCTTATTACCTTAGGGAACATTCTGAATCACATATACTACATATACATTTTCTCTCAAAGATTTAAAAGATGCAAAAACCGAGGAATATCCAGCCTTTGGTGATGTCTGAAAACATAAAAACCAATCATTTTTAACTGATACAGTAACAGGCCAATATCCACCATATGAGCTCAGTATTAAGATCATGTCCAGATCTTGCAAAAAAAATTCTACACTTGCCAATTTTATTACAGAACAGGCAATGGAAAACGGAATTAGCCCAGTTGACACTAATTGGCATACATGATATGATCAACACACTTATTTCAATTGGCATCTGCTTAGGCGGTCAATACATGTTAACTCCACTTGATTATGTCAACTTAACATGCTCCCTAGTCTTAAGGCTTAGAAAATCTTTCCTTTAATAATTCATTTGATTACTATTTATTTCCAAATCCTTGAATTCAACTTGGCAAACTCCTCAAAACTCAGCCTGGCTTTCAGGATTCTGGCTGAACTACCTCCATCCAGGCTCAGAGTGGGTGAAGGCGGTAAAGAGTAAATGAAGCAGGTGCCTTGGCCATGGGGTCAAGGGACACAAGGGGGTGTGACAACACCAAGGAGATGCTGTGTGGCTCCAGCTACCTGTCACACACATCATGAGTGTAGACTCAGGACTTAGGTGCAATCTTCCAATTTTCAAGTGTGGAAAAGCACAAGGCCAGCCAAACTAAATCTATCCATGAATCACCAGGAGACAGCAGGCTAGCACCCTCACCTCTACACAAACTCAAGTGACAAAAGGTCGCTGCTGCTTCAAGCTTCCAACATGGTGAGGGACAGTCTGCAGGTCGCCCAGTCTCTGACACATGGTTGGCTTCCTGCCACATTCCCAAAGGATGCCTTCCCTCAGCTCTTCCACTTGCCAACTCTGTCAGAGGCAGCTCAGGCAGCTCCTCCCTTGAAAGATTTCCTTCCCTTTTTCCTGCCTTGGGAATCACAGGGCACATCAGCATGAATATCTTGCATCTGTATTTTAACTACGCTGATAACATTTTGCTACTTGGTGAATGCATGAGTCATGAATGGAGCAGAGGAGTCTGAGAAAACGATCCAGGTAAGGTAAGTCACATCTCCAAGATCAGGGCTAGGTATGGTCTACCACCAACACAGAATTTACAGGACAAGAAAATGCAATGGGTCCATCCTGCAACAGCTAGGAAGAAATTTCAGGACTCACCTCATCCCTGGTTGTCAGGAGACCTGGGGCCATATTCTTGGTCTGCTGAGTGCTCTTCTTAGAGAAGAGTCCAGCTGCAGAAGCAGAGCTGGGGAAAGAGAAGAGAAATGAGGGTGTGCTTGGGAGGAGTAGTACCCTTGTATCCAGCCTCCCAGTTCAACAGGGGTGACAGGGAGGTAGGAAGGGAGGCTGCAGAGGGCATCGGGGCAGCCCACTCTTAACCAGTGTCCTATAAATAAGGCTCCCAGAGGTGGGCCAGCAGCAGGCTCAGCCCCAATCTCCAGTTGGGAAATGAAGCCCTCAGCCCCCAGAAGCTGGATGAGACTATTAAGTCACTGGGTAGACTCTTAAGAGGAAAAGCGTCTCAGAGTGTCCACAGGTAAGCACTCATGCTGAGAAATAAAAGGACCTATCATACTGATAACACAAGTTCCCCATCCACGTCTGCCCTGAGGTCAAATGACAAGGCCCAGGAAACTAAAAACACAAAGAGGGCTATAGCGCTCTAGACAATGTACATCCGGGGGGAGACCTGAAGCAGGGTGGAAGCCATAATCTCATTGCACCTTCCTCTCCACTTATATATTCCAAGATTAGGTTCCCAAGATTTGAAATGTGACATGAAATTTAAGAATGGGCAGTCATAAAATGGGCTAGGTCTTCAACAAGTCAATTTCATGATGAAATTTTTGAGAGATTTTCCTTACTGCGGAACTACTTAAGAGAGAAATCACGCTTCATGTGTTATCTGTATGCCTTGATTGACTAGTTTGCACAAATGAACTGAAAGACATTTAGGGGACTAAGAAGGCTAATTCAATATGAACTGGGTATTAGATGATGTTGGAGAATGACTGTGAATATTGTTAGGTATGATCATAATATTCTGGACATACAAAAATAGTCACTATTAAGAAATGATGCTGAAATACTAAGGGTGAATTGGCATAATTTGCAATTTTTAAAAGAATGTGAAGACTTCCACAAGTTAATAGCATAAAATCAGGACTTATGGGAAAAAAGGAGGCTTGAGAGACATATCAATGAAGTGCAATGTGTGGACATTGTTTAGACATTTTGGAGGCAATCAAAGAAAACTGAACACTAACTGCATGTTAGATGACATTAAACAATTAATATTAATTTTGTTAGGCTTAGGCTAAAAAGAGCTGTGCTGGCAACCTCTGCAAGTAATTGTGCCTAAGCTTAAATAAATAGTGCAAAAAAAAAAAAAGAGTGCAGAATTGACACCAACAGCATATTTAATGGTGAGAAACTAGATGCTGTCCCACTAAGATCAAAAACAAGGCAAGAATGTTACCTTTCGCTACTCCTATTCAACACCGTACTGGAATTGCAAGCTAATGCAAGAAAACAAGAAAAGAAAAGAAAAGGCATACTGATTGAGAAGGAAGAAACAAAACTGTCTTTGTCTGCAGATGACCTGATTGTCTATGTAGAAAATCCCAAAGAATCAACAAGAAATTTCTGGAACTAACAAGTGACTATACCAAGGCTGCAGGATCCAAGTTAATACACAAAAAATAATTGCTTTCCTATATACAAGCCGTAAATAAGAGAAATTTGAAATCAAAAACACTACAATATTAACATACACAAAAATGAAATACTTGGGTATAAATCCAAAATAATTGTATAAGATCTATATGAGGAAAACTACAGAACTCTGCTAAAAGATATCAAGGAAGAGCTAAAAAATAATAATAATATTCCATATCATGGGTAGGGAGACATGATATTGTTAAAATGTCAGTTCTTTCCAACTTGATCTATACATTCAGTCTATCAAAATCCCAGCAGGTTACTTTGAAGATGTCAGCAAAATGGTTCTAGAGTTATATGGAGAAGCAAGGGACCCAGAAGAGCCAACACAACACTGCAGAAGAACAAAGTCAGGAGACTGACACGATGAGATTTCATAACTTACTACACAGCTACAGTAATCAAAAAAGTGCAGTATTGGCAAAAAACAAATTTAAAAAATAGACAAATAGATCAATGGAACAGAATAGAGAGCAAAGAAATTGACACAAATAGAGTCAACTGAATTTTGACAAGGGAGCAAAGGAAATTCAATGGAGACGGGGTTAGCTCTTTAACAAATGGCAGTAGTGGAACAAATGAACATTCACACATCAAAAAAAAAAAAGAATCTGGACACAGACCTTTATACCTTTCACAAAAACTAAATCAAAATGAATCATAAACTTAAAAGTAAAATGTGAAACTATAAAACTCTTAGAAAATAATTTGGCAACATTTTTTCACATATAACACCAAAAACACAACCATGCAAGAAAAGTTCTCGTAAGTTGGATTCTGTTAAGATTAAAAACTTCTGTTCTGTAAAAGATTCTGGTAAAAATAAGTCAAGCCATAAAGTGGTATCCATCTGAGGCAGGGCTGCCAAGCCCCTAGAAATGCTCTCCGCCCTGACAGGCAGTCCCCTCTGGATCTAAGGGAGTATAGAGTGCTCTCAGGAGAAACCTGGTACAAAGCAAGCAGCTTCAGCCTCAGGATTCTCTCCCAGGCCAGACAACAGGTTGGAAACCCCTAAGCCTGCAGCTAGGGAGCTCTTCACTAAAATAAGGTATCACGACCTGGCAGGGAAGGGAAGGACAACATGATGAACAGAATTGGACTGTGGTTTTTAGAATGAACCTGCTGTGAGTCATGCTGATACCCAGCATGACATTAGTCTTCTAAGCGCCTACATGTCTTAGTGAAAATACATATGAACATTATTAAATGTTACTGAAATGAACGTTATGTTAGCCTGTGCCAGACACCCGTTCTACCTCTTTCCAACACTCACCACAGCTCCAGGAGGTTCAGCACTTCGTTCAAGATGACGCCGAGAAAGAGGTAGACCAGGACCTGAACTCTCCCTTCGGAAGCCGGAACTCCTACAGCAGGGCTGGCACCGGCCCCTGGGGAGAAGCAATGACCAAAGAGATGCACACTTGGGGTTGAGGATCTGGGGAAGAAAGGACAGGGTTCTCTCACTAATAAGTGGTAGATCTAAGTGATTGATCCATGAAACCT